ACCACCACCACCAGGGCTGCCCTCCCTCACACCACCACCACCACCAGGGCTGCCCTCCCTCACACCACCACCACCACCAGGGCTGCCCTCCCTCACACCACCACCACCACCACCAGGGCTGCCCTCCCTCACACCACCACCACCACCACCAGGGCTGCCCTCCCTCACACCACCACCACCACCAGGGCTGCCCTCCCTCACACCACCACCACCACCACCAGGGCTGCCCTCCCTCACACCACCACCACCACCACCAGGGCTGCCCTCCCTCACACCACCACCACCACCAGGGCTGCCCTCCCTCACACACCACCACCACCACCAGGGCTGCCCTCCCTCACACCACCACCACCACCACCAGGGCTGCCCTCCCTCACACCACCACCACCACCACCAGGGCTGCCCTCCCTCACACCACCACCACCACCAGGGCTGCCCTCCCTCACACCACCACCACCCACCAGGGCTGCCCTCCCTCACCACCACCACCACCACCAGGGCTGCCCTCCCTCACACCACCACCACCACCACCAGGGCTGCCCTCCCTCACACCACCACCACCACCACCAGGGCTGCCCTCCCTCACACCACCACCACCACCACCACCACCACCACCAGGGCTGCCCTCCCTCACACCACCACCACCACCACCAGGGCTGCCCTCCCTCACACCACCACCACCACCACCAGGGCTGCCCTCCCTCACACCACCACCACCACCAGGGCTGCCCTCCCTCACACCACCACCACCACCAGGGCTGCCCTCCCTCACACCACCACCACCACCACCAGGGCTGCCCTCCCTCACCACCACCACCACCACCAGGGCTGCCCTCCCTCACACACCACCACCACCACCAGGGCTGCCCTCCCTCACACCACCACCACCACCAGGGCTGCCCTCCCTCACCACCACCACCACCACCAGGGCTGCCCTCCCTCACACCACCACCACCACCAGGGCTGCCCTCCCTCACACCACCACCACCACCACCAGGGCTGCCCTCCCTCACACCACCACCACCACCAGGGCTGCCCTCCCTCACACCACCACCACCACCACCAGGGCTGCCCTCCCTCACACCACCACCACCACCAGGGCTGCCCTCACCACCACCACCAGGGCTGCCCTCCCTCACACCACCACCACCACCAGGGCTGCCCTCCCTCACACCACCACCACCACCAGGGCTGCCCTCCCTCACACCACCACCACCACCAGGGCTGCCCTCCCTCACACCACCACCACCACCACCAGGGCTGCCCTCCCTCACACACCACCACCACCACCACCAGGGCTGCCCTCCCTCACACCACCACCACCACCACCAGGGCTGCCCTCCCTCACACCACCACCACCACCAGGGCTGCCCTCCCTCACACCACCACCACCAGGGCTGCCCTCCCTCACACCACCACCACCACCAGGGCTGCCCTCCCTCACACCACCACCACCAGGGCTGCCCTCCCTCACACCACCACCACCAGGGCTGCCCTCCCTCACACCACCACCACCACCAGGGCTGCCCTCCCTCACACCACCCACCTCCACCACCACCACCAGGGCTGCCCTCCCTCACACCACCATCAAACACTTTATGTAGGGCATACGTAAATCTGTGTATCTATGTATTTACGTATGTAGGTTAGCTTAGCATTTTAAAAGCACCGAATCACCTTCTGTGGTTGAGTGTTCAATAAACCCTTGAACTCTATGTTTAACACTTCTCTAACCCTGTCCATGGAGGACAGAAGAAAATGTATATATGCTGGTTAGCATTGTAAATGTGTGACCACGTCTGTGGTAGAAAATAATAATAAAAAAAAAAAAAAACACCACCACCACCAACCATCACTCCACACAATATAAGGAAGCTGGAAGAGTGTACTGAGATAAGCTAGACCTTAAACCCGTATCATGTTATCGTAGGAACAGTTTAAAACACAATGTTTGCGCGGGAGCGCTCTGAAATGGTCTCGCGCAATGCACAATCTTAAACTATGATAATAATAATAATAATAATAATAATAATAATAATAATAATAATAATAATAATAATACAAATAATAATAGTAATTATTATTTTATTATTATTATTTATTTATTTATAAGCTATGCAAGGAATAATATTACAGTGGGTACGGTATTTGAACAAATCCACAAGTGCCTTCATGAAGCTTCGAACCTATGCGCATTATTATTGTATAATGTAATAAATGTAATATATATATATATATATATATATATATATATATATATATATATATATATATATATATATATATATATATATATCACTGCATTTGTATATTGTATAAAGTCACTAGGCACGTGTGAGAAACACAAGGATTGACAGCGCTAGGCTACGCGTTGGGCATACTGAACTGTTGCGTTCTGGCACTGCTGCTGTTGTGTACTGTAACTGGTTTTCACTGCCGCCGGGGAAAGGCTGTAAGCGTTACAGGAGACAATATGATGTTGCTCCCCACTTTTGTAGGGCTTCTTAATTGTGATAAGGTCGGAAAAATTGCTGACTTGCAGTAATTTAAAAAAAAAAAGGTCTTTTTATAATCTTGGAATTTCAAATTAAAAATTTAAAATTGTCATAATAGAAGAACTCTCCGATGAATCTAAAAAAAGTAAATTAAGTACAAATACGTGCTAACTGAGCCATTCGCTCAGCTCAATATGTCATCCAAAACTCGAGGATAGAACAAGTAACAAAGTCAGTTAACTGTTAACTGACTGTCTCAGCGGAAAACAAATAGGTTACAAGTGTCTATGTCGCTTCAACTTGTATTGTCCACCAGATCACATGAAATATAAAGTTTGTATACAAGTTTCTATACAAGTTTGTATACAAAGACTGGTTACCAAACTATTTACAGATTTAATCTAACGTTGATGAAATAACACAGCACCATATTGTCGATGATAATTATTTGACATTCTTGCATTGTATCAACATTTTGCTTCTAATAAAATAAACACATGCAAATCATTTATAAGCTATGTAAATCATAGCGCGTTCTGTCCCTCTGCAAGTAAACAACAATAATTATACTATTCTGTGATATTTAGTGTTGAATAGGTAACGTCAATCGAGTCTTTGTGGTTGCCCTGTTATCAGTGATTTTAGACCAAATGGTACTTATGGCTAGGTTTTTATGGCTCAGTGACCTAGGCTAGGTTACTGAGCAGAGAATGATCACAACATACAAACTGGTTCAGAATAATAGATATGGCAGTCACCTAACAATTTTTGATTGGATAATACACAGACAAGAAAACAGGGAGAAATTAATTCGTATTGTCGGGAACAGGAAGCCTGTGTGTGTGTGTGTGTGTGTGTGTGTGTGTGTGTGTGTGTGTGTGTGTGTGTGTGTGTGTGTGTGTGTGTGTGTGTGTGTGTATACACTTAGAGCATATACACTTCATATCGTCCAACATAGAGCATATACACTTCATATCGTCCAACATAGAGCATATACACCTCATATCGTCCAACATATAGCATATACACTTCATATCGTCCGACATATAGCATATACACTTCATATCGTCCAACATAGAGCATACCTTGGAAACACAAACCGAAACTGTCTCTATTTTCCGCTTGTTACAACTTGTAATAAAGTTGTTACATCTTGGCTTAACGTGTTTATGACGTATTAGAACGTTGTTACAACTTGCTATATTGGTTGTTAAAACTGGTTAGGAAGTGTAAAAACTTGTTCGAACGTTGTACCAACGTCGTAGTTTCGGTGTGTGTTTGGCGGGTATACACTTCATATCGTCCAACATAGAGCATATACACTTCATATCGTCCAACATAGAGCATATACACTTCATATCGTCCATCATAGAGCATATACACCTCATATCGTCCAACATAGAGCATATACACTTCATATCGTCCAACATAGAGCATATACACTTCATATCGTCCATCATAGAGCATATACACCTCATATCGTCCAACATAGAGCATATACACTTCATATCGTCCATCATAGAGCATATACACCTCATATCGTCCAACATAGAGCATATACACTTCATATCGTCCAACATAGAGCATATACACCTCATATCGTCCAACATAGAGCATATACACCTCATATCGTCCAACATAGAATATATACACCTCATATCGTCCAACATAGAGCATATACACCTCATATCGTCCAACATAGAGCATATACACCTCATATCGTCCAACATAGAGCATATACACTTCATATTGTAAATCACTTTTTTGATGGTATACCATTGCCGGAACCCCAGAAGCTTGCTAGGCTTATGAAGAACCCTAGCCAAAGGGACAAGCTATCCGCGCGGCCACCCATCTAGAGCTTGCCAAACCATCGGTACTTAACCTGACTAACCAAGTGGCGGTCAATTTCAATTTCTTTCTTTATTATGTACCCCATACCCATCCTGTGGGCGGTGGTGGAGAGGGGTTACAGAGGCACCTAATGGGTTCAGGAACTAAGCCCCGTAGTTCGTTTAACTAAGCAAGTAACGGTCATATTACGATGTATGATATGCGTAATTGTTTTGTGGTTTACCCTAAAGTTATGATTTTTTTCTGGTATTTCCTGAATATCTTATCGTTTTGTCTTGTTATTCAAACCTTAACTACTTATGGAATGGAAGAATGTGGCCTATTGTTATCTGGAGTATTAGTCTTATTTGATGTCAAATTCGTTTTTGAATTGTGCATTTTGGTGTATTTTGGTGCGTGTTGTGAGGGCGGTGTTGGTGTTGGAGCTGGGCCCGGCGGGGCTGGAGGCGCCGCGCTGCCACATGAACGGATGTGAGGCTATCACGTCACCATCACTGATATTCTTCATATAAACAATATTTCTACCCGTGAATTCTTACGTGGCCATTCATGCCCGTGCCACCTCTTGGGTGGCTTAATCTTCATCAGTCAATCACTCAATCATCGCGAATTCATCTCTAAACATTTATACAGTAAATTATCTTTTGACAGGTGTGTCGGTCTTAAGGCCTACCAGACATCCAAGGCTCTTTGCAGTATTTTAAGGACTTGATTGATGTTCCACGACTTTATGAGCGCTCGGTGATCACTCTGCCCCAGCAATAAGCTTCAAGCTTGAATGCTGCCATATCAGCTCTCCACGATACAGGTAATCTTAAAAAGAGGATACTCTTAAAAACCCCAGCCATTACCTTCGGACCATTTTGCTGCATTTTAAAACCCAGTTTAGTAGTTCGTGAATATCAAACTCATTTTGTTATATATTAAATAATGGGTTAATCTATATGGCGATATTCTGTCCGAACGCCATTTGACCTCCACTCTAGAGGGTGTAAACAAGCCACGTCGTATGCAGGAAAGTTCGCAGCGGATTTTAAGACCTACCTAACCTAGCCCAAGACCAAGTCAACCTAACATAATACAGCCTAATCAAAGGTAATATATCCTAACCTAACGATATAAGGAATTTTGATAATCGGAAAACGAGCTTCGTCTAACCGTACGTCTTGTGTACGATTTGGCCAGACACACTTGCCATCTGAGCCTTTCAGTGGGCAAGTACCACCCCTAGTGTTGAAGGTATAGGGTATTTCACTGATTTCTATAGTTTTTTAAACTTCAATGTGTTATGGAGAGAGTCGAGTGTTACTGTTTTTAACTACGAATAGATCGGAAGATCGTAGACTAGTTAATTAGGGGGTTATTGAGAGACATTCAAGCACACAAAATGACGTCTGAGGTTTTAACAATCTGTTAATAGGTGAATACCACCCCCACCACAGCACCACTCCTCTCTCTCCCCAACATAAGCACCACCCCCTCCCTCCCCTCAAGGAATGTGTTTGCTTGCACTGATAGTGTTTTGAGCAAAGGTTGTGATCCAAAATGTTGGTTGCGAAACACGAGCTTCGTTCATTTATTGTTTCTATATTACAAAGAGCTATTTGTAGCAAGCTATTTAAGAGCATGCAATATATGAGCTATGTGCAACCTGCAAATATTTAGAGAGAATGATGGTGATATGTTACATGACATCCTGGAGGAACGCTGCTCATGCTCTCAAAGATATTATTTGATTCTGGTAAGCAAATTAAAGATCAGGCCAAACTTTGTTTCGATATTCTGCTCACAGAGCACTCCCTCTCTCAAGCCATATACACTGATTGTACCCTGCACCACCCAACGGGTGCAGCTGGAAGTGCAGTTGTCCTAAGAATGAGTGACGGCTTAGATTTTGAGTGAGGAATCCGTATATATACAACTGGGAATACCCTTCAGACCAAACTACTTGCACTCAAATGTGTACGTCTCCAAACTTGACTCATTAATTGTAAGTTATTCTTCATAAACTATAAATGGACTCAACTATTTAAGATGCTTGTTAAGATGAAGTTAAGAAGTAACATTAATTTCATTTATTTGATTTCGTGTCCGAAACCAGACATAAATACAGCAAATTATTAATAATGGTAACAGAGTCATGTTCATGTGGATTCCATCTCATGTTGGTCTTCGATTGTTTGATAGAATTGATGAGTTAGCCAAAGAATCTGCCTTTCAGAGGAGCTGATTATAATCTTAGATTGCCTATAAGCAGCACGAGAACAATAATACAGCAAGAACTACAATAAAACCTTGTAGATCTAAGACAGAGTGACCTCTTCACTACATATTTCATCCATCATCGTACTACCATGTCGATGTAGACCTGACCAAATGTTAACAGTGTCAACAAAATTATTCGTACACTCTGCGTCGCTGTGGGATGGTCACAACTCTGTAACGAATGTTCAAGAAATTTGTATTTCATTCAAAATTATCTGCTATCAAATTCTTTAGCCAATTATGCCCGGTTTGCTAACTATAGGTAGTGTATGCAAATGTAACCCATAACCTCTCCACTGCCGCCCACTGGATGGGTGGCGGGCGCAAGATAAGGCAAATTGTGTTTTTTTTTAACCTACACAACCATCTGGGTCTTTATAAAGAGCTTTAAGGTTTTGTTCCTTTCATGTTCTTCAAAGATTTCCACTAGCAACTTTCAGAATTTAAAAAAAATACTTTTTAAAACGCTGGCAACAGCATCCGAGGTGTGCAGCCTCGTCATATCATAGAACCTATTCCTCATAAATATTTAACCGTTGATAAGAACCATAATATCACTCAAAATTAGTACATTTTGAGTGCGATATTTGAAGGTTAACAGCCAACATACTACTTCATATTATCATTATTCTAGTAATATTATTACAATCTTGCACAATTTTAAAATTCATTCTGTACATTTAACCAAACTTAAATACTTCACATGTACAAAAGGAAAATATTTTGTGTGATCAACTTTCCCGCGCTCTCCCCCCCCCCCCCCCCCCCCCCCCCCCGCTCCCTCTAGCCACGCCCAAGCCTTCTTAGCCTAAGATAGCCGCGTGGGCGGCCACGCCGGGCCTCGTGGCGGTGAGAGGAGGCCCCGCCCAGAACTCCAAGGCCGTCCCAAACCTTCAAGGTCATTACCACCACATAACAAGGACAGGAGTTCAAGTTCAAGCCATGGAATCTCAGGCATTTATTTGCAGTCTGGCACCATATCTACTGCTCTCTGGATGCGAGCCTGTGCCTCTGCTAGGAAGAAAAACCTCAAAATAATGTAGAATCCTCAGTGTAAACAAGAGTACGGATGCCTTCGGGGGATAGCATGTTAGACTTAAAGATGTTGAATACAAACAAGCTAAGGATCACGCCTTCGGGGGGATCCCTCGTGAGACTAGAGAGCAGCAGAAGGAAGCCATGACCTGCAAAAGAGGAAACTACATATCCATCTATCCTGTGGCTAGAAGCCACATATCTGAATCCACATGGATTTGTAGATATGTGGATTTGAATCATGGTATGGATTTGAATCTAATTCGGTATTCTAATTATAGGATGAGCGTGCTTCGAATCCGACGGAAGCTGCTCAAAAGCAATGGAATATTTGATAAGGGCCACCAGTTATGTCAAGGCGACAGAGCATTATAGTGGCGAAGCATCCTTTCCCAGCTTTAAGAGATGGCCTGTTTCAAATCCCATAGAAAACCCCATGAAGCCTAGATGGCATTTAGGAATTCCAGGAAAACGTTGTGGAACGCCGACTGGCCCTAAATGAGGAATTTAATTGGCACCCAATTGGGTCCGATTTCCACATACAAGTCGTTGTCTCGTTTTCTGTTCGTGGGTCCTCGAGTAGGTTGGGTTCGGCCAATTTAGTCCAACAAATTCAGCCCGTCCTCCAAACAAAGATCCAAAAGTGATTCCATGCACCCGCCAAACCCCCTGTTTATGAATGAAAAGCGGTTTACACACGACTCACAACTGCTGACGTTCGAACATATCCGGAACAAGTGTTTCACTGACGAATTTTGTTCGAATCACAACGCTATAAATGCTTCACCCACGTACTACAAATACAAATAATCGCCAACAGAACCTAAACACCTAACCTAACCTAACCTAACCTAACCTATGCCTATATATGCACAATATGCTAATATATTATAATATTAATTTATACTTGAGAAAATTCCCGTTTTGAATGAACAGCATATTAAAATTTATGAGTGCGTCTGCGGGGTCGACCGCTGGATGTAATGGACTTGAGTCGAGGACGGGTTGACAAATTAGTGACGTTCGGAACGCTCGGGAGAACGGGATGCACGGATGACGACAAGAACATTTTCCAGTTCTTCAGTAAAAGGCTCTTTTATTGGCGTCGTGTTCCCTACCTCCGGGGGGGGGGGGGGATCTCTGTCTAGATAAAGTTTTCCAACAGGTCGTGGGCCGAGCTAAAGGTCAAATAGAAGTAGATTGTGAAAGGATTCCGCCACCCTCAGAGAATTGAGCAATGTTCAACCTATTGAGTCATCGATGGAATACAATTTTGATGTCAGATCGTAAGGTTTTGATGTCGAATTGTGAGGAAGAGCAATAGGCTATTCATCCCTCTCACGTTAGATGTATCTGAAGCGTACTAATCATACTACTTTCTCAATACTGTACTTGTACTTTGCTTGATGCTTTTCAGTGTACTATTTTCACTCTTATATAGTAAGTCTCTAAGCTTATAGCTTACAGCAGGCCGTAAAAATATTCAAAATTGCCTTTATTTAATGCAACCTGTCCTCAGCTTGCCGAGTAAGCCGGACGACTCAAACAGAAAACGGAACAGAACGTCACTTTTATGAGTGGATTTCATTTCAAATTACGTCCAAATTTGGCCATAGTGCGCATACGAGTCAAAAGTGACGTTCTTTTTAAGAGGACGGGTTGCTCAGGGAGATCTGCGCAAGGGAATGGATTGGGAACTACATATTGTGTGCTATTATCTACTCTCTATCCATGGTTACGTTAAGGTTTGGTTAAATTAGGTTTCATTATGTTTGATTATATAAATATGATGTAGTATTGACGGTAATGTGAAATACACAGTCTCCGTGTAGTGGTAAGACACTCGCCTGGCGTTCCGCGAGCGCTATGTCATGGGTTCGTATCCTGACCAGGGAGGATTTACTGGGCGCAAATCCTTAACTGTAGCCTCTGTTTAACGCAACAGTAAAATGTGTACTTGGATGAAAAAAGATTCTTCGCGGCAGGGGATCGTGTTCCAGGGACCTGCCCGAAACGCTACGCGTACTAGTGGCTGTACAAGAATGTAACAACTCTTGTATATATCTCAAAAAAAAAAAAATATGGAATTTAAAAACTGTTTCAATGTGCCCAAGAATTCCATTTACTAAAAACAAAACTTCAAAATTTTCATCATACATCAAAAAAACGTTTTATCATACACTTTCTATTTTAAACCAACGATTTCTATTACATTAAAGTTATAACTTGAGAATTATCACCGATTACGACAAAGGCTCATTTGCCAGTTTACATATAGCCTATTACTAGAACAGTAATACCATTCAGATCATCACAGATGTCTTGATAACTATCCAGGTGGTTTGAGGGTGGGTGTAATTTCTCATGGTAATGGATTTACAGTGAGGTCGGACTCCAGATTTAACAGACGCATCAACTTCAGTATGTTCTTGGAGATTTACGAGAAAGAATCCAGAACTGTTTGACTCACATTCATTTTTTCAGAAGACGTGTCTGTGCTCGGTTTCAAAAATGATCATGCTACATTCTGATACTCAGCACTTTATAGCCAGGAATACGCATAAAGCCTCGTAAATAATGAAGCTATCTACGACTACCTTTTCTGAGTGATTGAGAGCTATAAATATGGCAAAATAGCGCATATTTATTTGGTAGATACCCAATCATTATCCTAACATTCCTCTCTATTATTTTACCGTTAAGCTGTTGTATCGTTTTAGCAGCTTATCGAAGATGAGAATTATGTGTGTGTGTGTGTGTGTGTGTGTGTGTGTGTGTGTGTGTGTGTGTGTGTGTGTGTGTGTGTGTGTGTGTGTGTGTGTGTGTGTGTGCCAGAAGGTTTTTTGAAATACAAGACAAGATTATAATGTCAAGTGGTTCAGGAGTACTTCTCTTAGCACTCCCTAGGAACAGGCAGGTTCAGCGTTTCACATCTTTTATCCCGCGTGGAGCCCTTGAAATAGTTTTCATGTGTCAAGGAACCCCTGCATAAAAATTTTATTATAATATATATATTTATTAATTTAAAAAAAATATATATTAATCACAAAAAATTAACCATATCTGTAAACACAAAAAATAATCATTAACAATATTGAAAAAGCATCAGATTAATCAAAGCTATGTGAACAAATAGAACAAATATAGTCAAGATAATGTTATTTTTAAGCCAATTTAGATTACGAAATTAGCTTCTCTAATGTGAAACCCCTGTGCTTCTCCTTTCATACACACACACATGCTGAATACGGACATACACACATGCTTAATACGGAGTCAGATAAACACAGATTTCATTTTCGAGTGAAAGGAGACGCTTTCTATCTTTGCTGTTGATACTGGTTAAACGAGAAAATGCTTCCTCACACATGTAAGTTCTTCCTAGTTAAAAACTGCCGCAATATATTTATTGCCTTCATATGAATAGCAGAATAATCATCTTTCACAGAAATCCACAATAGGAAGCAGAGAGTTACAGTGAGGGGTGAGACCTCAGACTGGCGTGAAGTCACCAGTGGAGTCCCACAGGGCTCTGTACTTGGACCTATCCTGTTTCTGATATACGTAAATGATCTCCCAGAGGGTATAGACTCATTCCTCTCAATGTTTGCTGACGACGCCAAAATTATGAGAAGGATTAAGACAGAGGAGGACAGCTTGAGGCTTCAAGAAGACCTGGACAAGCTGCAGGAATGGTCGAACAAATGGCTGTTAGAGTTTAATCCAAGCAAATGTAATGTAATGAAGATAGGGGTAGGAAGCAGGAGACCAGATACAAGGTATCACTTGGGAGATGAAATACTTCAAAGAGTCCGAGAGAGAGAAAGACCTGGGGGTTGATATCACGCCAGACCTGTCCCCTGATGCTCATATCAAGAGGATAACAGCAGCAGCATATGCCAGGTTGGCTAACATAAGAACGGCCTTTAGAAACTTGTGTAAGGAATCTTTCAGAACATTATATACCACATATGTCAGACCAATCCTGGAGTATGCGGCACCAGCATGGAGTCCATATCTAGTTAAGCATAAGACTAAAATGGAAAAGGTTCAAAGGTTTGCCACCAGACTAGTACCCGAGCTGAGAGGTATGAGCTACGAGGAGAGACTACGGGAATTAAACCTCACTTCGTTGGAAGACAGAAGAGTTAGGGGGGACATGATCACCACATTCAAGATCCTCAAGGGAATTGACAGGGTTGATAAAGACAGGCTGTTTAACACAAGGGACACACGCACTAGGGGACACAGGTGGAAACTGAGTGCCCAAATGAGCCACAGAGATATTAGAAAGAACTTTTTTAGTGTCAGAGTGGTTGACAAATGGAATGCATTAGGAAGTGATGTGGTGGAGGCTGACTCCATACACAGTTTCAAGTGTAGATATGATAGAGCCCAATAGGCTCAGGAACCTGTACACCTGTTGATTGACAGTTGAGAGGCGGGACCAAAGAGCCAGAGCTCAACCCCCGCAAGCACAACTAGGTGAGTACAACTAGGTGAGTACAACATATCAATGAATAGGTTAGTGAATGTCATCTTGAGTGTGTGATCAGATCACACAAAAAGTTCTTCCTCGTCTCTTCAAGTAAATTTCTCAGGATGAGCAGAGGATTCAGAGTATGGATCCCTCGCTCAATCATGCTTGTGATGCAAGGGAGGGAATATAATGTTCGAGTATTATTAACAGATTTTCCAAATGGGTTTCAATAACACTTGAAATTTGCTGGTATCTTTCTTCACTCTTAAGTCCCAACAGCAGCTGAAACATTTCATGATTTCTGTTTACATATGATTTTTTTTCCAAAGGTTCAGTCTTCTTTTAAATCGACCATTCATGTGATGGAAAATGTCTGCTAAACAGGTTAGCATCTGCAACCATTCTTCAGTCTTAATAAAGAATTGGGTTTTAATAAAGAGTTTGTAATAAATTTTAATTTTGTAATAAAGAAATATTTTTAATAAGGAATACTTGCTAATGAGAATATGGAGCAAGTATATTACTGACATAATATACTTGCTACATTTTCAAAGCACTTGGCAAGATCTGGCTTATTAGTTTATCGAAAATACTTTTGCAGTTCACCTTTCAGTTCAGATACCTTATTTAGAACTCTTCCTCTCCTCAGCTACCGGGGGACAAATTCACGAAGCAGTTACGCAAGCACTTATGAGCGTGTACATCTTTCCTCAATCTTTGACGGCTTTGGTTACATTTATTAAACAGTTAATGAGCTCCGAAGCACCAGGAGGCTGTTTATTACAAATAACAACAGTTGATTGGGAAATTTTCATGCTTGTAAACTTGTTAATAAATGTAACCAAAGCCGTCAAAGATTGAGGAAAGATGTACACGTTCGTAAGTACTTGCGTAACTTCGTGCAGGTTTCTGCCAGTGGCGTAGGTACGGCGGGGGGTTGGGGTGGGGGGGGGGGAATAGGGGAAGCGGAACATGTCTTTAAAAGTGAACACATTTTGAAACTGTCCACGTTTTTTTTTCCCGTAACGACTTGTTCCCCTAGCAGTAAAATAGCCTCAGACAACTGTAGCGTGTTACATCTTGGAGGAGACGTCAGCTATTCGCCTAGTGGGACTGCGATAGGGCTTCCTGTCCCAGACAATGGGGATATATATAAGTAGAAACTAGGCCACTGTCACCGAATTAGAGTTTGTTGAGGATTATTGACGGAATAACTGACAGTTAACATTTGTTCCTCTAGAAAAGGACTTTACCCTCTGTTCTATCTACTATCTTGAGCACTTGACCTCTCCTTATCATTAGCTGTGAATTTTCGTGTTTGAGGCAGAGCGCCTGTTATGTCTAGTTCACTTTGCACCTCACAATATTAAGAATTACTTAGTTACTGAGTTTGAAAATATTAAAAACTTTAATTTCACCCAATCACATTAAATTTAGACAAATGTTTGATATCAGTTAGAGGATAACAAGAACAAAGAACACTTTTACTCCTGTTAGTGGAGCATTTTTGAGATTCAAATCTTCCGCTTCTTCGCTGAGCAGCCGCAGAACGATCTTTTTGCGTCTTTAGTCCGCAAGGAAAAGTAGTCTCAGTAATATGTCATTTTCGTAGTAAACAGTTTATAATTAAAATATTTGTCACTAGCGATATTCAGTTTATATTATAACATGCAATGTTTTTAATTAAATGTCACTTTCTACGGAAGTGATAAGCAGTGGTGCCAATCCTTAAGTTCAACAGTTTGATATCATTATTTGTGGACATATGAACTTATCATTATTATCTAAAAGTATATTGAATTATTAAAAATAGTTAATACCTGGATTAGTAACATCACAATCACTGTATGATACTACTAATTAGTTTCCCCCAATTTTCAGGGAATCCAATGTAGTTTTTTTCCTCTTGCTGAATTATTTATACCTGAACTTATCGTTTAGAAATATTGAATCAGCGTTCATATTTCCAGGCGATGGAGATATATTTATAGATGAAATATCCCCCCCGAAACGAGCGAGCGAGCGAGAGAGAGAGAAAATATAGGCTGCGAGCACCCACGCTGAGGTGCTGGGTGCGAGGAGATGTGGCAACGGTGTGTTGGTAGCAAGTGTAATGGAAGGGAGGGAGACGTCCACCCTCTGTTTATTTTAGAAGAATTCTCTTGATGCACGAATTTTTTGTACGGAAGAAAGGCATTGAACGTAGTGCATAGGCTATAGAGAGGCAGGTATGGTGTCCGTATGTTGTATTATAGAGTTGGTGGTGTGGGGGAGGGGTGAAGTGTATAGTCAGACGGGAGTGTGTCCTGGGTAGGGAGAGAGGAATGATTCACACACCACCTTCACCCCCTTATCGCTAATTTCACGTTAGACGAGGAGAAGGAAGACTTGAGGAGATGGGCGGTGTAGAGGTGTCTTGAGAGGAGTGTGTGTGTGGGGTCAGAGGAGAGGCCACCATGGGATAGGGGCTGAGGTTTGTTTTGGTCTCGAGAATACTAGCTGATAAGGACCACTATATCTCATAGCCTCTATCCCTGTAATGTTTAATGATATGTTCATTTGGTTTCATTATTCGTATTGGAAGACGGATGTTATTGGCAAGTGTACCGATTAGCTGTGTCCACTCGCTTGTGTCTAGTCTAGTCTCAACCCACTGCACGATTTGGCTTATTTCGTACAAATGATTGTTCAACGTGTTTTGAGATCTACCTGAGCTAACTCAAGCTAGCGTAAGCTTGCACAGTCTAACCTGATGATACGTACAGTTTTTTTTACATTTAGAAAATGAGCCAATGTGCAAATGCCGCTCCGTGATTTGTGTATCCCAGCCTGGCTACTAGGCACTATATTCTAGGAGCATTATATTGAACAGTATCTTGGATTATATCACAATATAAAACTCGTAATTATGTATTCAAGTTAAACATATTTTGACAGAAAAGAATATAGGAAAAGTATGAATCGGTGATAGCCGTAGTAGAGTAGAACTGGCAAAAAGCAGCTATCATAGCAAGGGTTAAAAAATGGGTAAGATGCACATAAGGGTATCACAGAGGCTAGTAACCAACTGTAGGTTACTGTCCATAGGGTCAATTAAGGGATGCCATTTAGGCTAAATTAGGTATAGGGATTATTGGAAATCGCTGCAACTTTTCATTGAAATGGCTTGGATTAGCTTCTGCAATTGTAAGCATTATTAATTAAATATTCAGGAGTGGCCCTGTTATACAGATATGTCACATTGTACACAAAGTACATTCTAACAGCCACAAGCTACAGTATCTAACTTCTCCAGCTTAACCTACTCTACCAAGCCTAACACAGCTAACTTTGAACACTATGTAGGTCAGATTAAATTAGTATTATAAAAGCACTACAGTCACCTTCTGTGGTTGATTGCTCAATAAACCACTGGACTGTGTGTTTCACAGATCTCTAACCCTGTCCATGGAGGAGGAAAGAAAATGTATATATGTTAGAATTGTAAATGGCTACATCTGTGATAGAAAAATAATAATAAAAATAATAATTTGTTTATGTATGTATCTATGTACATATGTATGTCATACCTAATAACCAGAACTGTGCTACTGTACTTGGTCTAGTATATTAGGTCCAATTTGTCTTAACAAGCAGAGTGAATTTTGTTATTTTTAAATATACATTTTCAAATTGGTTTATTCCAATTATTACTGTATTATATTAATTAACAACATGAATTACTGGCCTAGTTATTTTAGGTTAGCATAGGTTTGATAAAATTTATTTTAACTCGAATTAAAAAAAAATTAAATCATATACAGTATAATGTAATGGAGAACGTATAATTCCATACGAGTTTTAGATGCGGTTGACGGATATTAAAGATCAAAATTGTATTCTTTTTTATGGCAATGTGATGAATAAAAATGGATAAACTGATTGCATTTTCAACTGTTTGTGTAGACTGAATCACTTTAAATTGTACATTTCTCTTATATATACTGTACTGATATTTCATTTAACTTTTGCAGTTTTAGCTGAAATTAAATTTTTTTTAATGTTTAAGTATTGTTGAATGTTATGAAGTAGAAAAGTCAGCACTTCTTAAGATAGAAGAAACAAGAGCAAGATAGAAGATTTTGGCTTCGTAATTATGTTAATAATATGCTGTATTAGGCATAAATCATTTAATATAATGTATATATATGTTGTGCAAAGGAAAGCAACTTCTAATGCAATAAAATATAATAATTGTTAGTACCATTTGAGTAGAGAAAATGCTCTACAGTACAGGTATTGTATATTATAATAAATCCTTAGTAGAATTTAGAATCTACTTTGCGGGTACTGTATACAATATTATGACCATTTTGTTTTGGTAGCTTCTGTGCTTATTGTATATGTAGTACTGAACTCTGAAGTAAACATTAAATGTAGATATCATCCACAGATTTTTCAGCATGGAAGCAGTAGCAAAACATGACTTTAATGCCACAGCTGAAGATGAGCTCAGTTTTAGGAAAGGACAAATTTTAAAAGTAAGTGCATGTAAAAATTTATTTTATATCTCGATAATTATTAATCTCTATTAAACTAATAGCCAGGCTCTATTTTAAATAATCTTTTGAGGTGTTTCAGGAAGCACCAGTGCCTTTGAAAGTGAAATGCAGTATCCTAACCCACATTTGGTGTATTGTAACTTGGCCCATCAGTGGGTATTGTATTATCTCTTGCCAATGCTATGTAGTAGATAGAATAGTAGTCACTGTTTCCATGTGACATTGTTGAAGATGAGAACCTGGGTCACCCCGAATGTGTTCCACAGGGTCAGCGAGATTGGTTAACAATGCCTCATTATCACACTTGCCTGGCGGGTAACCAACATGCAATATATGTACAGTACCAAGATTCATTTGGCTGATTTAAATAAAGTTCTAGGGTCAAAGGACATAGGGTCAAAGAGTATTTCTAGGTGATGGTGTTAAGGGTGCATCCAGTTGCAGTGGAGTGAAGACGGTGAAGTTGGTGGTGGTCGTAGGGTACAGAGGTAGCTGCAACTGAAGGGAAATATATATATTAACCAATGTTCTCCATTGAGTTAATATTTTTAGATAGTATTAAATCTATACATCCATTTATATTCTTCAGTCATGTCCCCTCATGCTCTCTGCCTTCTTAAAAAATGTTCTTCTTGTCATAAGGATGCTTGTTTTTTTTGTAAGTTAACTTTCACTGTATACTCTTGAGATACTACTTAACATACACACTATGGTACAGTGCCATACTACTGCCTAATCCAAGTACTAGTATTCAAACAATTTGGTGGGGTTGTATTCTGGGAAATATTAGGATTATGGACTTGTCCGAAATGCGATGATTGCTAGTGGCTGTACAAGAATGTAAGAACTCCTGTGCATATATAAATAAATAAAAAGTACAGTATGGCCTCACTAGAGTGAGATAAAGTTTAAGAATATCTGATCCTTTATTACTGATGCTTGAAAATGTGAATCATAGTGCCTTATTGGTCTCAAACCCTTTAGTAATTTCCTTGATTTTATATTGCTCCAAGAAAGGGTACACAGCAGTGCCCGGGCAAACCCTGTGCCATTAAAGTGTTGGGAGCCCCAGAAAATCAAACCTGCCACCAGAACATGCATTTTACATGTCAATATTTGAATTCTGTAACATCAAAGAGTACCAATACCATCACCTCTTAATGTTTTTTTTATATAAATTTTCCATGTGGAAATAGTATTGGTATCCTTGCTAATGTCTAAATACTGTACAGTGTAACTTCAAATATCTGGACTCGATAATTTTTTACAGATTTTAGTCCATTTTTATTTTATTTTTGCAGTGCTGATCATAAAAGGTACTCCTAAAGATATAAAAATAATGATACTAAATGTACTTTTTTAAATGTAAGTTTTAAAACTATTCTTTTGAACTGCACGGTGGTAAAATTTGAGCCACCGAGAATTGTTTTCTCATTGCCACCAGAACTCTCTCTTGGCAATGATCTCTAAAATCTTGACTTTCTGTTTTCTCTTTACTCCAGAAATGGGGCTAATTCCAGCAACACACCTCTCTAGGTTTCCACACTTCCTATCCATGATCACTTTTTTCCAATAATTTAATGTTTTGTCCTCATAGTACTCGACATATAGTACTCAAAAATTATGTAGACCAAAATTTTTAACTAAACACATTTAGTAAGCAATGAAAAGTAATCCAGAAATTTAAATACAATGTGTTGAATTTATTAATATTTCTTGAGATAGTTTAGTCCACATTTTTAATTTTGAAAGTGAGACAATGAAATATTTTTGGCAAATCCAGTAAATATAGTTTTGACTTGATAATGGAATAAAACTTTTGTGTTGTAAATACTTTATTTCCTAGGTACTGTAATTAGCTCTGCAGCACAATGTTATTACAGTACAGTTTTAAACAGTAGCTTGTGGACATTATGCATTACCCAGATTTACAAACATCTGATCATAAGAATAGTCTTCTAAGTTCTCATTGAAGCCCCTTGTTTCTCTACACAAACCAATTTTAAAGCCCCGACATTATGAACAGTGCTGGTGATGCCACTGCATCAGCTATTTATTAAGGACTAGACCTTTAAGGATGTTTGATAAGAGGAAGTGTGGTGGTGGGGCACCATTGTCTATACCTCGCCATCTTCTACCTCCCTCTTCTAGTAATCACGCGATATCAACAAGCAAGATGTGATAGAAAAATTTGCAGAAAGTCATAGAATATGAAAAAATAATACATTGAGTAATATACTGTGTTTGTCACCTCCATTTCTTTTGGTAAAGAATATTGTAGCAATGACTGATAGCAGTTTGATTGTAGTTTAATTAAGTACTGTACTTCAAATTATGTACATACAGAGTTAAAAAAAATTGCCATTTGTGAAAGTAATACTGTTTAAGTATAATAATGAACATTACTTTCTAGGTACTAAACATGGAAGATGACATGAATTGGTATAGGGCAGAATTAGATGGTAGAGAAGGACTCATCCCCAGCAACTATATTGAAATGAAAAGTCATGAGTAAGTTTTTATATGTTTTGTTGTACTGTATATACTGTATTTATGATTTAATGCAGTGTTGTACTGTACTATACTGTACAGTATCTTGAATTAGTTTTTCAATCCATTTCTTGTGAAAGGTGGTGATCAATTATATACACTTTGTGAGCCAGGCCACTCTGTTGTTTTTGATTCATCAGCAAGGGTCCACCCAGGCTACTTAAGATATCAAGTCCCTCATCAGCCTTTGTGCCCCCTTGACCACCTACATTGTGAATGGTCTTGCCACATAATTAGGGAGAGAAGACAGTGAAGATTACAGTACTCGCAGTCCACCAAGAGACTGCTTACTATGACTCAAAAGAGCAGAATACATGTTTCAATCCCTCTTTCAAGTAATAATTTGGCAATTATCACTGAAGGGCTTAACTACAGAGGGAACTAGCAGTTGTCAAATTACCACCAAGTAGTTGTGTGCTCTATCCCTGAGGGTGTTCTCCAACTTGCCAGTAGTTACTCAGTTTTCTGGGGGGGGGGGGGGCTAGATTAAGAGGGGCTTTGTCAGCCTGCCGAGATGTTTCCTCTGTCTCTTTAGGTGTGGGTTGTCAATTTTCCAGGAAAGCACTTCTGGTTACCTTGTTTTTCCCAGGCTTGCCTTCACACTTTTGTGCTGTGCTCCTAAAATGACATTTGGGGGAATGGGCACCCTCTGGCATGGAGAGGCCTATGGCAGGATTTTTTGGAGAATAGTGTGTGTCTTCTGTTTGCTTGTGGTCCATCTGTACTGGGAAGACAAAAAGGATTGATAGTGGGAGGGCCCCTGGACATGAGAACCATCCATTCTAGGTACACAGGCTAGCTTGGCAGTGCACGTATACAGAGCCCCTGCCTTAACCCTTGCCCAGCAGCCATTAACTTGTGTTCTTGTGAGCACGAAGAACATGTACACAAGAAGCCGGGAGGTATTGTGTCCCTCCAGTTGCAAGCCTTTAATCAATAATATACTGCAAGGCATTTAAACTTCCTTGCTTTGGACTCTCATCGCACTAGTTTAAAGTATAGTATTTGGAAAAAATACATTAACCTGCTACAGAGTCCTGGGTGAGTATGTTACTCGCCTAATAATATAATGTAAGCCTTACATTATATTATAGACTAGAGCCTTGCAGCTTGAGAGACACGGTACATCCCAGCTCCTTGTGTGATTGTTCCTAATTCTTTACTCCTCTGAGTACTGTACTAGTAAATGGCACCAGCCATGGGAGTTGCCCATTTAGTCTTGCAGTCTCTTTAGCAAGTAAGTCACCGAGGTGTGAGAGACAACACCATCACAGGAAAGGTATCTTTACTGCTTTGTTACTTGACCGATCATTTGTCGTGCGCTAGCTCATTTGTCATCTTCGACTCGCCACTCCTTTAACCACTACACTGTGTACCTGGTTTTGGCAAAAACTTCATAGTGCAATTGTGAAGGACATATTTTTGTTTTTATAAATGTTCAGGTAAAGCTAATGTCAAAACGTTTCCAAACTCAACCATTTTCATTTCATAATGCAGAGTGATGAAAATATTAAAAACATTAAAATATAGCCTAATTAAAAACAAATAGCAGTACTCCATAGCGCCTTAGGGGGCACTGCGCAATACAGTGGTCAATGTACTGTACTAGCCTGAATTCCTATAATCCTTGCTTGATAGTCCCACTTAGTTTTAATTTAATATTTTATTATTAAAGATCTTCCATAAGCATAATTGGTCAACAGAGGCCTAAAAATTATTCATTTTAAAAATATAACAATTTAATAAAGTAAACACCAGTACAGTATATATATGTAGCCTCTTAATAACATTGGTCCTTTTTTTCTGAGAATTTATTTAAATTCAAACTCAAACGTTACAACTCTTGTAACTGGACATTCAAATAATTGTTCTCTGATTTATGAGTGGGATTGGGTGGTTATAAATAGGAGCTGCCTCGTATGGCCCAAAAGGCCTTAGGCAGTTACCTTTTTTCTTATGTTCTTATGATCATTCACTTGGAATGAACTCTTTTAACACTTTTTAACACTGATTTCCAGTAAATGTTCCTCAGTTCTCATTAATCACAAATCATTTAATTTCATCAGTGGTTAGCATGTAATTATCTAAGTATCACCAGTAATATACACACACATAAAGTAATAATGATAAATGAGGCAATTGCCTGATACTCTTAAGTAATTAATGCACAAATTAATCATATTAATCATTGTGCCCCCATCTGTTCATTCACCGAGTCTTGTCATCCATCTTGCTGCTTGCTGAACATAAATCGTAAAAATACTCGGCAAGTATATGTCGAGTAATGTTACATTGATTAATAGCACACAAAAATATGTTTGCTAGTAAATATAAATATGCTAGCCACACTTAGCTTCTCAACTGTCTGAGTACTTTAAAACACCCCTGAACATTTGTTTGTTAACCTATGTTGGTACTTTTAATATTGATGATAAATCTTTAATATAAGCACATGTAATTATATAAATTTTTCCATGGCATAATGTTTCACTTATATAAATCATAGTTTCACCAATAACACTATCTGACAACTTTACTGCAGAATTACTAGTTGGCAACCCCTATAGATGAGTAACATCTGGGAAACGTGTCAATCACATGCTAGCTGAGCTGAAGTGTGGTCACTTGTGTACCCCCAATCCCTCGAAAGTAGGTTTTCACTTACTTCCCAAGTCAGAACTATGGCACTATACATGTATTTTTCACTTGGTACTTTGATACTACCTCTGATGATCAGGGATCTACTTGATCCTGGTATGTGCAGTAGCAAAAAGAGCACAGCCCTCTTAGACATGCTCAGTCCTTGGGCTGACTCACTAAAGGAAAGAACTTGCACACACTTAAGGAAACTAGAACTCTATTATCTATGTACTAAATCATGTGTTGACGTTTCTGCCCGAAACGCTTTGCGTAATAGTGGCTTTAGGCATTGTATGTACTAGCTCTATCTATAAAGCCAACAAACTTTGTAAAATCTCTTTATGTATGTACCTTACCTAAATAAAAATTATTTTTATTATTATTATATAAATATTATGGTATCACTGTGTATATGAATTGGGGAGAGACTGATATACTGAGACCTTGTATTACTGGTACTTGGAGGTTACTGCTGTATTCCCCAAAGTGACTGTGCACTTGCCCTCCTGTAGAATGTTCTTCTAGTTAGGTGCATATCTGATCATCATTCTGTTGGATGAAGTGGCCTTTTTTCTGGGCCACTTCAATACCACAGCTCAATCAGTTGTTTCTCATTTCCTCCTGACTAGTAATAACAAGCTGGGTGCTGGAGAGAGGTTGATTGCTTCCCCTTCCATGGTATACTGTTGCTTCTTGGTAAACACTTCAATCGGACCTTCTGACGTCCCTCACTTTAATACATGACCAGAGGTGGGGCAGAGCCAAGCAGGGCATAACCTCTCCAATTGACATACTAAGTGCCAGTGACGTTCCCTGGCCAATCATAGGGGTCGCTCAATGACATGAATCGTGCCAGGTCTCTTCCTATTAGACCCCTTCACTGAGCGGTTCGTCGATAAGGTAAGAGGGGGCTCCTGTGTGCCTCCTCCAGATAGGTGGTGGTTCCTGCTATCCTCTCTGGCCTCTGTGATTGTGCACAAGCGAATTTCCTACCCGTGTGTTAGGCATGCATTCCTCTTCTCTCATCTGGGTGTAAATCTTTTTAACAAGATGTAACGGCTTTCTAACATGTTGTAACAAGGTATCAATAGGGACAGTTACATTGTGTTTGCAGAGGAGAGCCTCGGTCCTGTCCTTGGCCTTCACATGTGTTTTTTCTTTTTCTCCCAACATATTTGGTACTGACCTAACAGTTTCTTCATTATCTGTTCTTTTTTATGTATTACAGTACTGTATAAATACATACAGTACAGTATTCCAATTTCTTCAATTTTAAAGTTATTTGTATTGTCATATTCTTGTGGTTTTTATGCTTAAATTATTGTCTTTCAATCTCCAGGTGGTATTATGGAAGGATAACACGAGCAGACGCAGAGAAACTTTTACTCAATAAACATGAAGGAGCGTTTCTCATTCGGGTCAGTGAGAGTTCACCTGGTGATTTTTCACTATCAGTCAAGTAAGTTTTTTTTTTTCTGGGTGGGGTTGGTGTGTGGGTTTCTAGTGTACAAAAATGTTCTCTGTTTGTAGTCCCACTCCAGGAAACTTACCATACTACAGTTTAAAGCATTCCTTAACTTTGTTGCTGTGTACTATATTCTGATTGATATGCATCCTTTCCTCAGCCATTGGCTATTCATTTTATATCCTTTGACATGAGTGATGAGTGATGACATGATTAATTAAACAAAATACTTTTATTAAATATAAATTAACATTAATTGTAATATTCTCTGATTCCTTGACTTTTAGTGAACAAAAGTTATTAACTATGCCTTTGAGTCTAAGAAAGTGGTTGGTAGTTCAGTGTTTATTTTATGTACTTATTTTATTTTATGTATTTAGTTTGTTTTAAATACCTTAACCATTTTATTCAAGATTTTGTTTTTCACTAAGACCTTGTGCAGTTTGGTTTAGCATAAATAACCCTACGTCATTACTTCTTGAAACATACTTGCCTCTTGAAACTTTCTCTCATCTTCAAACATAAATCATTACATAATCATACCTTGGCTAACATTTTAGTTTTGTAAATCTCCTAAGTATACTTATTTCTTTTCAGTCGTCTATTGTATCAATTTTATTTTTCTATGCAAAATTTTGTGCTGTATTACTCTACTACAGTATTTTGTATATGAAGTGACCTTAGTGTATTAAATATCATAAAAGTGCCCATGAAAATCCTCAACATAAGTGACAAAATTATAGGGATTTACAAGTCATTGCTTCAATAGGATGAATTGTAGTTCCTCTGTTCAACAACTCATAAAAAAACTAACTTTTATTCAGCATTCTCCATATTGTACAGTACTTTGTTTTTAACTGTGTACTGTACTTACAATGATCTTGAGACCTTAACTGATGGCTGTTGCAGAGTTTTATCACGAATAAAGATTATATTAGCCCAACTGATTCCTTCTGATTCTGGCTTTTATATGCTCTTCAGTATATACAATTGTAAGGATTATGAATTTGTAAGAACTGATCTGCTTCAAGAACTTAAGGGTCACATAGTTGTTTAACCCTTAAAGTGCGCATCACGTCATATGAAGTGTAAATCGTTTTACCAGTCAACTGCGCTTCACATCATATGACGATTATGGGTACCGCGCACGATTTGAATGGCCCGCGGTGTAGCTGGGGGTCCCATACGCTGCCCAGGGGCTCTAGTAAACAGCGGCCATTTTGAAAAAAATTCCCGCTTACGAACCGAAGGCATGGGAGGCCTCAGTTTAGCGAGAGTCACCATGGCGAGCGCACGGTCAAACGCCTCACGAGCACGCACCACTCAGTCCCTCACCCCAGAGCAAATAGCCCACGAATTATTCTCTGAAGGTGAGGAAAGTGTGTTTGATGATTCAGACAACAATGAGGATTATACACAGTTGTCGGGTGATAGTAGCAGCAGCAGTGAGAGTGAGAATGACCTCCATGCCATGGCGAGGCCTCTACGCTCACCCATGCCTCCTCGGCCAGTTTCTACCCCAATTCTACCACGACCTCACAGTTCCTGTGGATATTTTCTGTTTGAGGGTGACGAGTCAGAGGGAGGTGACTCCTTTTCTGGGTTTAGTGACTCAGATCATAGTTTTATTGAGCCTGTGGCTGGTACCAGTGGTGTAACTGGGCGAGAAATTGTCGCATCAGCAGCATCTCGCCCGGCCAAGCGCCACCGCATGGCACCACATGAGGGACCAAGACCCTCGTGTTCACGTGCATCCACCTCACGTGCATCCACCTCACGTGCACCCACCTCACGTGCACCCACCTCACGTGCATCCACCTCATGTGCACCCACCTCACGTGCACCCACCTCACGTGCACGTAGCCGCCGTGCTTCTCGCAGACGGTATTCAGCTCCTGGTCGCCGGTATGCATCGCTTCCTCGCCGTCTTTCCTCTGCATCTTGCAGGACGCCTGGTGTACTTGAGTGGAGTAATGGTGATGATTTTATTCCTAATATTCCTCACTTTGACGATAAAGATGTAGGGATTACAAACCTTTTCCCTAATCAAGGTGAGGATGGAATATTTTACAGCATTCTATGATGAACCACTCATGGAATACATTGTAAACCAAACGAACCTGCATGCTGCTTACCTGATTGAGAGGGAAATCACAGAATCTTCACGACTGCAGCGTTGGAAAAATATCACAGTTGCGGAAATGTATGTGTTTTTGGCACTCTGTTTGTTGATGAAGCACTGTCACAAACATGCAATAAGTGACTATTGGAGCAAGGACAAGACACTACCAACACCTTTATTCGGGAAATATATGTCACGAGACAGGTTTCAGATACTCCTCAGGTGTCTACATTTTGGAAGTGTTCAGGACCGAACACCTGATGATAGACTGTGGCGAGTGAGGCACTACATGAACGATGTTATTGGAAAATTCAGAGATTTTTACGTACCAGCACAGAAGCTGGTGGTTGATGAATCTCTCGTACTTTTCAAGGGACGTGTTCCATTCAAACAGTACATTCCCTCAAAACGAAACCGATTTGGCCTGAAATTTTTTGTTCTTTGTGATTGTGAGACAGGATACGTGTTACACATGATTCTGTACTCGGCTAGTGATGTAGACATTCCCGGTAACGACGAACATGGATTCTCGGGGAGTGTAGTGAAGACCATCATGGCTCCGTGGATGAACAAGGGACACATTTTATACACAGATAATTACTATACAAGTCCCTTGCTAGCTCGGTTCTTGCTAGAAAATAGAACCGGATTGGTTGGTACAGTAAAGCCACAACGAAGGGAAATGCCTGTGTTTGACAACGACATTGCAGTTGGTGAGTGTCAGAGAAGGAAAAGTGATAACATTCTGTCAGTTCGGTGGAAAGACAAAAGAGAGGTGAACTTGTTGACAACAATTCATGATGGAACAATGGTGAACAGTGGGAAAGTGAGCCATAAAACAAACGCACCACTATATAAGCCAGACTGTGTTTTAGACTATAATATCAACATGCGGTTGATTGATAAATCAGACATGATGATTGGCACTGCAGAGTGTGTGCGGAAGACATGTAGGTGGACGAAAAAAGTGTTCTTCCATCTTGTGGACATGAGCATGCTGAACTGTTTCAACATGTACCTTGTGAGAACTGGACGTAAGCCCACTTTCCGTGACTTTGTATTTGATGCTGCAATACAGTTATTAGGAAAGTTTGCAAAAGATGTCCCAGGTATTCAGCGGCCCATCATAAACCCACTGTTGTAGCATGCTGGTACTCCACGCCTCGCTCACACTGAAGGCTTCCTAGCACACAAACTTAAGTATTTGCCACCAGCTGGGAAGTGTTAAGGGTTAAAAACTATCACCGATACAGTATTCTTTTGACTATGTTTCATGTACAGTATAGATTTATTTAAACCCCATTTGTCAAGACTACTCCGGTTTTTTTACATTTGTATTTCCATTTCTTTTGTACTTCATAATATGATAATGCATTTGCACATTATACAATTTAGTATAACATCAAATTGATATTCGTCATTATTTCTGCATCATTTTGAGACGATTCAACAATTGCATCTCACGAGTGGGTGTAGCTAATTAGATAACTGCCTTGCCACACGCCTAGTCCTACACAAAATCGGTCGCCGATTCTGCGTACGAATTAATCTTCACTTTAACATTTACAGTATGGAATAAACGTTGTTTAATTAAAGGATTGTTTTTTCCATTCATATAGACAGTAAATTGTGCATGGTTTAACATTTTCGCACTCCCGGCATGCATGCCGCAAACTTAGAGGTCATGCTCCCAGCGTGCGGGCGAGCGCTCGGCGACACTGAAATGTGTATACTCGTTTCAGTTTTCTTACCTTAATTCTAGTGCTACATCGTTCGTTTTGATATCATTGTGTTCACAATAGAATTCCCTATAGGTGTATATGCATACTGTATAATGTCCAAAAAGCCTGGCGTGACTTCCCACAGCAAAGCCTAAAGTCAGCAAAAGTTACCTGTGAGCGCACAAAATCAGTAAAATGTGTGTACTCGTTTCAGTTTTCTCACCCTTTTTCTTGTGCTATGTTGTTCGTTTTGGAATCATTGTGTTCACAATTAATTTCCCTGCAGGTGTATATGCATATACAGTGGTACCTCAGAACACAAGTGTCCCTGTATGCGAGTTTTTCGGAATACGAGCAGGATTTCCTCGGAAAATGTGTCTCGGAAGGCGAGGGTTACCTCGGAACACGAGTTTGTTGATACGTGTACAGGCCGACTAGCGCATGGTGGCACGGCGATCGCGCCTCAGTTTGCCAGTGTCTCGCGCCCAGTGACTATCCCACCTGAATTGTTCACAAGGATTTACAGTTTTTTGTCGTTTTTTTGGCCATTTGAGCATAAAAGTTGTCATTATATATCTAACCATGGGTCTCAAGAAAGCCATTGGTAAAGTTCAACCAAAGAAAATAGCTGTGAGTAGAGGATGTCCCTTCTTGATTAAAAAAATTTGTGAAGTATGGGAAGAACTGCAAAGTTTTGTTGAAAAAACTCACCCAGATAAAGATGTAGCAGGCCGTTGCATTGACCTTTTAAATGACAATGTGATGTCTTAATACAGACAAATGTTAAAATGTAGGGAAAAACAAGTGTCTTTAGACAGATTCTTAGTAAAACAAGCAAATCCTAGTGGTATGCAGGCAAAATGTGCCAGTGTGTGCATACCAGTGAAGTCCTCACTGCCTGATGTTATAATGGAAGTTATCTTGAGATGATTTCGAGGCTTTAGTGTCCCCACGGCCTGGTCCTCGACCAAGCCTCCACCCCCAGGAAGCAGCCCGTGATAGCTGACTAACACCCAGGTACCTATTTTACTGCTAGGTAACAGTGGAAGGAGACTCCCCTTCCAAACAGTAACACCTCTCCTCCTCCCTCCTCCTCACATCTTCCATACCCCAACAGCAGTCCTCAGCAAGGGTAAGTAATAACTTGAACA